CATATTGACAAATGCTTTTGAGTCAAAACACAAAGCAAATTAAATGGCATTGTAATGTGTAAAAAATAAACTTCAAACCATACCTTCCACCATCTTTAAAAAATGAATTTGAAATGGACTGCAGACCTAAATGAAAAACATAAAACCTCTAGGAGACATAAGAGAAAATCTTTGTGACCTTGGCTTAGGCAAGGACTTATTAGCTATAATAGCAACAGCATAATGCTAAAAGAATGACTTCAACAGAACAAAAGGCTTTTGCCTTCCAAAAGGCCCTGCTAAAAGAATGGAAAGACAGTTACAGTCTGGGGGGTAAACAAATACTGGTAAATATCAAAGAGTTAAGTTTAAACAAAAAAATGCTCAAACTAATGAGAAAAATAAAATTCAATAATGAGAAAAAACCCAACTACAATGAGATATTACACACTGATTAGAATGTGCAAAACTGTGGGAGGAACTCGAACTTCATATAATGCTTTAAACACGTGCAATTCATTGTGTATCAATGAAGCATATTTTTTTTACTATCAGTTGGCAATATGCCAGGCACTACAGTCAGAAAACATGCTGCTGAGCAATCCTTCCAAACTCATGCATCTTCTTGTGACTCAGTCCTACTAATCTGCTGCCTTATCGACATCACCACTTACCCATTTCTTGGGTACCCTAAATTTAGTATGCCTAAGGTACAATTCTAGTGTAGCCTATTACAGTGAGCAGCAATACCCTCTACCTAGCTGTCAAAATGACTCAATCTTCATTTTTATTTCATGTCCTGCATCTGCAGCATCCCATGTGTCACGAATCTCTCCACTCCTCATCAACCCACCGGCATTACATCAATCCAAACCATCCATCACTTCTCTGGAGATAGTCTCCTAATCAGCCTTCTTGTTGCCAAACTTGGCTCTTAAAAGTTCACACAACACACAAGGCAGCCAGATTTTTAAATACAGGCATAATCTTCTCATAACCAAAATGAAAATCTTTCAGTACTTCCTATTCCTTCAGGAGGGAACTCAAAACTTTTTAAAGTGAGTTACACACATTAGTCCCCATTCTCAACCCAGCTCCTCTCCCCAATTGTCACTGCCACTTCCCTTCTCCCTCTGCAGGCTCTGGTCACAGCTAAATTGGGAAATTCGCAGCCCTCTGAAATGGCTTTTCAGCTCCTGCTCTGTATGCCATGGGTGGCCTCTCAGCAATAATGAAGAGCGGTGGTGGCACAGGAGAAAAAAGCAGGCAAAAGTAATTTTTATCAAGTTCCTGTTTCAGTCAGATGTTCTTTATAGGCCGAGTAGGAAAAAGGAAACACAAAGATGACTTTGGCAGAGCGATTTCTAAAGGAGAATGCATTTTTGTGTTTTCACCAAGCTGTGGACTCCTCTGGATTTTAATATTATAGTGGGATCATAACAAGAATTTGCTCTATTGTTGGCTTTACATAGATGCAAAGCGGTGCTCAGGAAGCTGGGAGATGGATGAATAGTTGGTTTGATGTATGCGAACCATTCACCACTTTGAGTTAAATGTGCATATTTTGTTCAAAATAGACAATGGGGAGGGGCGGTCCTCCTTTCCTTCTCTAACTTGCATAACATCAGGCTTCGCTGCTTTAACTAACGAGTATTCAGAAGTAAAGACTCCTACTGATTCCAGTGAGCCATTAATTCTTGGCTTGCAGAGCCACTGTGGAGTTTTTCATTGCCCACATTTTTTTTAGCTGTTTCCAGTTGCTTCTGAGCAGCAGTGCTGACCCTTGGGTTCCTGTGTGTGTCACACAACAGACACATAATGGGTTTGAAAGTCCTCTTGGAAGGAAATTTACTGTGGACCAAAGACAGATGCAAACAAGATGTGTATTCTGGCCATTCTGACAAAGCTGTCTCAGAACTGTTAGTTTGGGGGAATTTAATTGACCCTGAGTGAAAATGTATATTTAAAACAATATATAGCCCGGGAAAAGGTGAGTGGAGGGGAGCTGCAAAATTCTCTTGAGCTAATTTCCACAGTCAGCAATACCCCTTTTTAATTACAACATTTGCTGCATTACTGGTCCAAGTTTATTATGGGCTCAAGAGAATCTGATTTTGCCTTGGTGGGCTTTACATTTTAACACACTGCATTCTCTTGGAAATGAAAAGCACCATGTCACTGAAGATGCTGTCAACTTGAAATGGCTCATTCTTGGAAAGGTGTTAACCTGCTTTCAATGTTACATAGCTCAGACTGCCCAAGACGACGAAAAAGTAGAGCCACATCAATGGATGATCTGTTTCCACTATCACTTGGAAGCTGTTTGTCTAAAAGGTCACTTAACGACCAATGTGGGGATCTATACTCATAATTAAAGAGAATGGCCATATTAGTGAGACCATGACAATTCATTATTCAATGGGTTCTGCATTATTCAGTATCATGAATATGTTGTGTGTAGCCCTATTATTTCATAAAGACTCCAACTATTGAACTTAAAACTACTAAAATTCATAAGTGGGAAAAAGGGAAGGCAAAAGAAGAAACAAATGGATAAAACTATGAAGCAACTCAAATCAAGATAAACCCAAGTTGGAAAAGCAAGAGAAATGCAAGTATTTGACATCCATTGAATCAAAGCAATCTATGGGCTAAAATAGACAAAATGTTCAAACTATTGTAATGTTTACATGCACACTTCACAACAGTGACTCAGCAAACCACCTGGGAACCCTGACAGCTTTTCATCAATTTTGTAGGAAAAGACATCACTTGATTTGGTCTTTTAAAAGACTATCGATCATTCCCATGGCTCAAAAAGTACTAATAATTAGTTCTGAGGACAAAAGGTCTCACCATATTAACCTTCAACTCACCTGACATCCATAGGCAGCATTTGCTTTTCCCTCAAAATGAGAGAATGTAGGAACTAAAAATAATGTGTACATGGAGAGAAAAAAAAAATGTGTACATGAAGGATGTGAAATTTCTTTCAAAATTATTGCCCTGGAACAATGACAACAGCTAGTGTTTCTTTTTCAGACAGAAGAGAAGCAGCAGAAATCCCAGTCCTTTTCCTTACCTCCCCGAAAGGTTTGAGTCACAGAGTTCCCTTGTGCTAAAATCCCGGTATCTACTGCTTGAAAACTAAGTAGAATGTAACAGCATGCCAGGACCACCTGAGACCAGGGGGGCTGGGAGACTTCCAGATGGACTGTAAGACAATTCATTGGTATTTACATAACGGGAATAAATGTTTTTCCTAAGATAGCATTTCCTTTCAGTGTCTTCAGACCACCAGCAAACGAGGGAGGTACAGAAATTCTATTACATTAATAGTCTTTGTTTTTATGGCTTTGGCATTTATTAACTAGTGGGAGCTGTTTATTGGGTCATAAACTTTACTAATGGGGATATTATCTCTAAATTATAAATCTCCCTCAGTGTATGGCTTAGTTACAAAAAGAATAATTCTTTAAAGTGTCTGTATGGCTGCAATGTATCATGTTTATCGGCATGATTCCTATAACGGCCATTTCATTGCTAATGGTGGCCTTGAACCAGCAACAACCAGGGCAGTAACACACACAGAAAGAACAGTTGTTGCCACAGTTGCTTTTTTCCTTTCCTCTTCTTCCCCTACTTCTCAAAAGAAATACAAGACCGTACCAGGGCTAAATTATCTATATACTTAAACTCTTGAGGGAAAGGCAACCGAGTGAAGAGTTGAATAATAGGTAAGTGACAGATGTGTCAGCTTGAAAAGTTCCAGGAAAAATGTCATTTTTCTAAAAGCTTGCTCTCTGGGGAATGGAAAATGTTAAAGTGACAAAATGGCTTGGCACTGTTAGCTGTCTTTAAAACAAGAAAGAAAGAGAAAGGAAAGGAAAGAAAAAGAGACAGAATAAAAAAAAATCAAGCAATCAAAAATAGGGGTTATGGGTAAACGGTTCTAGTATGTGAAACATACTGAGCATACGCGTTTATTGAGAAGTCCGATAGAGTCTAACAATGGCATATATGGATTATCCTAGCTTTACAAAGAAAAATAGCTTATTGGTTAGCTTCAACTGAAAAAGAAAAGAAACAGGCATTGTTGTTGTACAAATTGGTACATCTTTATGGGCAAAGATGCTGCTTCAAACGTAGCAAGAAGGAGAAGACGCTGAGATATCATCAGCTCTTCTTCCTCCCCCCACAGCAGTCCCTTTCTGACTGGGTCCTGATCTCTAAAGACACTGGGTATCATAAATACACCAGGCAAGTGAATTTATGATACTCAGCACCTAACACTGAGGACTGGGGTGGACTGGGAAATATTTCTGACACTGAATCCCCAGAATTCCTGACTATGATTTTTAATCAAATATGCACGTTTGCCTATGACAAGAGTTTTGCTGAAGAAAAATAAAAACAGAGGCAAGGAAATGCAGCAGGTGAATGTAGTTTTAGAATATTTAAATTCCTGGACTGGGGGCTGGTGGTATATGAATATAAAATGAACCAAAATAAATCCTCAAAATCTGCAGCATCCACATCTTTTAAATATATTAGACAATACATTTTTGTTCATACAATTATATACACACGCATATATTGCAAAGTGAATGAGCTGACTTTAGATACCAAAAAGACATTAAAAATATAAACACTGCATTGTGTTTCAATTTCTTTCCCAGATGTATGTGTGTTGGCAAGGAGGAGGTTCTTTCTCTTCCCATAACTTTACTAATTTCAGAAAATAAATACATTCAATCAGGAGAGATTTAAGGATTGTTTTGATGAGGCGAGTTGCAATAAAACTTAATTATATAAGTAATAAATGTGTCAAAATATTTCAAAAAAAGGTTTAATAGAATCACAACTTATTGCTCTGATATAATTTGATTTTATATTGCTGTGTTTAGCCATCAAAACTCATTTTCTTTTTGTATTGTAATTGAATCAAATTATGTTGGATGGAAAATTATTATAAGATTCTTTGGTATTCATAAATCACACATACAATAAAAATGTTTGACTTTTCTTTAAATGGCATTTTTAATAGTGTCAGTACATCAGCAATACAATATGGTGTTTTGAAAAACTAGTGACAAAAGAAAATTAATTGTGGTTTATGGATCTCCATTATCAACCTTCTTTTTTGTTTTTAATGAAATTATATCTACTAAAGTAAACTTGGCAAAATTAGAGCAGTGAATCAAATAAAGTTGGCCAAAACGGTTATGATCACTCCTGTTCTACACCATACGCATCCATCAAAAGGTCCAAGTATCGAACGAATTTCACAGGAATAGGTGATGGCATACCGAACCAAACATCTTCACATTTCTAGAAAAAAAAGAAACAGATACAATTAGAGCCACATTTCAAAGTGCAGTTTTGGAACTTTGACCTCAGATTCTTGGTGTTTACAGAACCTTTTACTTTCAAGGCAGAAGTTTCTGTTATCCATTTATGATCAGAAGGACTTAAAGGTAGATTCAATTCTTGTTCTTGACTCCTTTGCTAGCTCCCTCTGTTAAAATTACATGTTTGCACTATTTGCTAGATGACTGCAGATCCTCCCATGGGTAGGGGGGACAGAGCCACCAGGGAGGAGGAGGAAAGGGGTTACCTTCCTTTCCCTTTGATATGGGCTTGGCCACAGGGATGGCTGTGACCTAGGCACTGTTAGCAGATATGTCACCAATGGAGGTTCTAATGTGCTGGCTCAAGAACGACAAAGAGATAATGAAGACCAGGCCCAACTTGCAACCTGGAGCCAAAACTGCTCCATCCAGCCAAGTTTAGCTGACCCATAGCCCTCTGGACAACAAAATAAATGTGCCTTGTGAATCACTGAAATGCTGGTGCTTTTGTCAGGTAGCATTCTTGCACTGATAGCTTTACTATAACTTTATTAAGAACTCGATTTTCCAAAGATTTAAAACCCAAACTGGTAACTACACTGGCTGTCTGGTTATTGTTTCTTCAATAAGCCATGGAAAGAGCAATGATTCACTCATATTCTCAGGGATCGGCTACTGTAACACAGTCCTATGCTGTGTAATGATGTTTTTGTCACCAATGCACTGCATGACAGTGGTCCTTAAGACTAGAATGGGGCTGAAAAATTCCTACTGCATAGTGATGTTATAGCCACCATGATGAGCACACTGTGTTTCATGTTTATAGTGGTGCTGGTTAAATAAACCCACAGCATTGCCAGTCAGTTAAAAATATATCACATACAATTATGTGCCATATATAACACTCAATAGCTATAATAAACAACTATGTTACAGGCTCATGCATTTACTTTATTTTTCATCATGAGAGTGTATTCCTTGAACTTTATTTTTTAAAAAGTTTAGTGTAAGGGGCTGGGGATTTAGCTCAGTGGCATAAGCACCTGCCTTGCAAGCAGGTGGTTGTGAGTTCAATCCTCGGTACCAGTAAAAATGAAGACAAAAAAAAAAAAGTTTAGTGTAAAACAGTGCTGTTATGCTGGCAGCAGCCTCATCCACCCCATGTTTGCTGCACCTCTTCAGTGTATCATTTTTTATTGTGCTTGATTTAATCTCATATTGTTTTGTTCATCCTGGTCCTAGAACAATGGGCTATACTAGATCTCTATACACACATCATATAGCCCCGGTATGCATATATATATATATATATATATATATATATATATATATAAAAGACTTTATATCATCAAGGTTAATTGTTTTATATATAAGGTCTTTTTTTCTTTCTTTTGCAGTACTAGAGGTGGAACCTTGGGTCTTGCACATGCTAGGGAAGCACTCTACCACGGAGCCACACCCACAGCTAATGTTACATTAGTAACCAGAATCACAGGGAAAGGGTCAGTAAAGTGTAACAGATACACAGGGAAAGGATTGGTAATTCTAAGTGGAGTAATTTTAGAAGCACGCTGAGTTAGTGATGCTTTAGGTGAACCTTACAGGATGAGTAGCAGCTCAGCACAGGTTTTAGGCTCAGAAGGGTGTTCTAGACATAGGGAACAGTATACGCAAGGTAAATTTTCAAGAGAGGACAAGTAGCTTACAGTGGTCTGGGACACATGGTGCAAAGTGGCAAGAGATGGCTGGAAAGAGAAGTGGGAAAGGACCTTCAGGCCTTCTGTACCACTTCAGACTCCACGTTGTGGTGAGGGGAAGCCACAGACAGGGCCTGGCCAGTGCAACACTGGTAACCTGAGGGTTGGGGATATAGCTCAGTAGCACAGCACCTGCCTGGCAAGCATGAGGTCCTGAGTTTGATTCCCGGTACAAAAAAAAAGTAATCGGATTTGCAGTGGATTAGACAATGTGTTGGATTCATGAAGAGTGAAATGCAGTAAAATCAATGTAGGTGATAATCCCGAGAGAAGTGACTGATGATGCTGAGGGAAGATGACTGTGCTATAACCAGTACAGCAGAGGCCAGGCTAGAGAATAGGGGCTATGCCAGAAAAGATTCTGCTGCAGGAGATCCAACTGTCTAGAAGGTGCAAAATTTTAAATGGTTATAATGGGGAGGGGCTGTTGGGTGTTCAATTGTATCCCCCTCAAAAAAGACAGTAAAATTCTAAGCTCTGTACCTCAGAATGTGACTTTACTTGGAAGTAGTTTTTAAAATGGAAATGGGTCCTTTTTATTACTAACTCTTTTTTAATTGGAAGTAGGGTTTTTGCTGATGTAATTAGGGAAGTTATTGTGAGAAAGATAAGGTTATACTGGAGTAGGGTAAGCACCTTATAAGACAGCTACCATGTGAAGACAGGCACATGGGTAGAAGGAATTGGGACTGTGTAGCTAGGAACCAAGCATCGCCAACAGCCACTGGCAAACCAATAGAGGAGCTCAGGGCAAGCAAAGAAACCACACAGGTTTCAGTGGGTGTGTGGTCCTGCTGACACTTAGTTTTGCACTGATGGCCTTCAGAACTATGAGAGAATAAATGTCAGATTTTTTGTTTTATTTTGTGGTACTGGGGATCGAACCTAGGGCTTTCACAGTAAGCTGTACCACCAGCTCTTTTCCATTTTGAGATAGGGTGTCACTAAGTCACTATGCTGCCCAGACTGGGTTTGAACTGGCATTCTTCCTGCCTCAGCCTCCAAGAGTTCTGGGATTAGGGACTGGAGATTTAGCTCAGCAGCACAAGCACTTGCCTTGCAAGCAGGCAGTCATGAGTTCGATCCCCGGGGGTGGGGGTGGGGGCCTGGGATTATAGGCATGTGACACCATGTCTTTGCTACCTGTGTTGTTTTACGCACCTGGTTTGTGACACTTCATTACGGTAGCCCTAGAAAATCAACATAGGAAAGGGTAGCTCTAAGAATTCTATATTTATAATATAGACAGCTGAGTGTCTGTCTAGATTACTTTCCTAAGGCAGAGGCAACAAATTACTACAAAAGGGATGGCTAAAAGTAACAGAAATGTATTCCTCCCTCTCACACAGTTTAGGAAGCCACAAGTACAAAACCAAAGTGTTAGCAGGGTTGACCCATGCCCTCCCCTAGCTTCTGGAGGTTCTCAGAAATGATTGGAGTTCCCCGACTTACAAGACCATTGTCATCTCTGCCTCCATCTTTGCACTGAGCTATGTATATCTCTGTGTCTTCACACGCTCATGTTATAAATCATTGGACTTAGGATCCACATTAATCCAGTGTGACCTCCTTTTAACTAATTGCATTTTCAAAGACCTTATTCCTTATAAGTCACATTGCAAGGTACAGAACAGATATGACTTTTGGGGGTGGGGACAATATTCAAACCAAGGCAATGTCATAAGGAAAAGAAGAAGAAACAGAGTTTAAAACTTTTTAAGTGGAAAAACAAGGATTCGAAGGGGACAATCAGTTGATTTTTGGACATTTTTTAATTTCAAGTCCCCATGGGACATCAAAGTGAAAGTGAGGATTCCTTTCTGGTAAGCACCTAGAGATATGTATGGCATAAAGTCAGAGTCAAGAACTGTACAAAGATGTGGAAGTCACTGGAATGCAAGTGATCTATAAAACTATGGCCACTGAGTCCAGGCATCTTTTAAAGCATCAAAATCTTAATTTAAGTGGTGTCTTAATGATGATGAACTACTTGAAGATTTTTGCAGGGTTACAGTAATCTTCTAAATACTTGCACTGCTAGTAGTAAAAATAATGAATGTATTGAGTAATTATTATATGAAAGCAGTCTTAACATGTATTAATCATCACAGGAAAAAAAATCTCAAAGTAGGCATCAGTGTGATTACCTATTTAAAGAAAAGAAAACTGAGTAACTTGTCTAAAGCCAAACCACCAGGCACTGAGGAGCCAGGACTGTCAGCAGCAGTGCGTGTCAAGAGCCATGTTCATCTATCTGCTGGGCCATCCTCCAAAAGCAAGCCATCGAAGCAGCAACAAGAAAAGTTGAGTAGAAAACAATGCGGTTCCTGAGGTGACACTCTTCTCTCTCAAGAATGCTTCCTGCCAGAGGTCAAATCCAAACCACCAACTGGCAGTGTGAAGAAGAAAATAAACATTTGGACAGATGACAGCAAAACCAACATCTAAAGGGCGTTTTGTACAATTTATACTACATGGAATTGAGTGACATGTCCTTCCTTACACCAAAAGGTAGTGAACGATGGTGGGTATAATAAGCAATATAGTTTAACCAATGAAGGCTGAGATCAACAGTCCCACGACTCCATTACTCAACACATCCTCAAGCTTTCATTACATACTTGGAAGGGACTTTCGTTCTTAAGCAATATTTTTAAATTTAATCTTGTTACAGAAGAATGGTACAAATATATACATTCAAAATCACTATTCTCTTTTAGATGTTTTGGATAAGTTTTTAATATAAAAATAATTAAAGCATATTATATAACCCGTATGATTATTATGAGCTTACTTGAGAAATACATTCTCTCATGAAACAGAGCAGTACGAGAGGACCCTGCCTCATAGCTTATTAGGCCACGAAAATGGGAGTGTGTGGGAATGTGGGGTGTGTGTGTGTGTAGCATGGAATGATGATTTAAATGCCAACAATAAAAGAGAAAAACAGAAAAACAACTTACACTAGAATAATAACTCAAAAATTTGGAGATTAATATCAAATTTATTAGCAAAAAGCCAGACAGACACAATGAAACTCAAGCAAATATTCAGGAAGTTTAAATGAAGGGTAATTTAAGCCAAAAAGATAACAATAGTCCATTTCTTTAAATCCTGATTGTTTAAAACCCCATGGATCTCATGAGTTCTCCTGAAAATCCCAGCCCCTCTCCTCTCTGTTTAGAATCCAAGTCTCTTGATCATTTTTCCCTTTGTCACTATT